CGTGCGGCCGATGAACCCGCAGTGAAGTCATGTAAATACGTCACCAAACTGCAGCAATATGTATTCCTCCTCAGAGCCCAATTTGAGCAAATGCAAAAACCGACAGATGTCCATTATGACCAGATGACGATGACGACGGCAACGACAGCAACGACCACGACGACAACAACGACAATGACGACCCTCTTCGAGAGATCACATAAACAGCTAGACAGGGGGATTTTTGGACGGCTCTCGGCCAACAGCCATCGTACCCCCACAGACCAGCCTGCTGCAAATAGTCTTATAGATCGGACAGCGTCGGACACTTTTGCGCTTGGCGCAATGATTGGGAGTTCCTACCAGGGTTTGAAGAAAGGGTTCTTTGGCAGGTCGAAGACCCGGTGTCGTGCCTAAAGGATACAACAAGGGGATTACCATACAAAGCATATCGAAGTGTCTTTCGTGGTTATACCTCCTGCAGTATTTTTTCTTTCTTTCATTCTCACTTCTTTTCTCTTTCTTCTTTCATACATTCCCCAACTTTCATTGCTCTGAATCAAATACGCGAGAACACAACAAGGGTTTAGCGAACTCATTACGATATTATACTATGACTTCTATTTTCGACGTTTAAGGAGTTTTAAGATATATATAACCCAAGGGTCAGGTACACCAGAGGAGTTTCGCGAGATTTCAGGCTTTTCCTTATTTATTTAGCACCTTGTTTTCCTCTTGACGTTTTCGTTTGCGAAAGAAGAAATAATTTAAATTTTCTGGGATTCCTTTTCTCTCTTCAAGCCAGTTCCCCTAACCATAATTGCCCGTGCAAATTCGGGGTTTCATGCTAACCAAATTGGAAAAGACAAGCCGACCAAATTTAATGATCGGGAAAAAGTCGGAGCTCCTGTTCCGCCTGTCTGTCGCCTACTGCACTTGAAGTTGCCAAGATATCTCGCGCGCTGGCTAGAAACCCCTCAGATACGTGGACTGCCTTGTCGAACAGCCAACGACAGTTTTTCTCTACTAGCACCAAAATCTAGCAAAGAGAGAACAAGGGGGAATAAATGATAGCATGTCAACTTCTCACACAAAACCTGCAGCACCCAGCCAGTGGCAGGGATAACCCCACACTATCAAGTTACACAACCATTGGGCTTCCTATGGGCCCCAATCGAGGATGTCTATCGAGCAGTGAGGAGAAGCTCCAAATAGCAGAACTGAGAAGCTCCGTGGAGTTAACTATATTCGGCCTTGGGAGCACAAAGGCCGTCCTGGCGTCTGTCTTCATTGTTCTCGTTTCATTGTGCATGTTTTGAAGTCTCAATGCAGAATGCGGAGACGAAGGAATGGCTCAACCTCATCGCGCAAGCCCTTGATATAAACTCCCCAGGAGCCTCGCCTCTTGCTGGTGAAGAATGGCAAGGGTCACTCGACAATCGCTCTGTCCGAAGCCGTTATATGCCCTGCGCCCTCAGTTCTGTTTCATGCTTCTACCTGCCCCTCTGGATCATCAAATGATTGACATATTGCGGGATGCTATCTGAACTCGGGCTAGCTTTTGCGCTGGGTGCGCAGACTGCTTTGGGTATTGGAAATTCTGCTTGGAAGCTGAAGGGAATGCAGTATTTAGTCACGTTTGGTAATAGTTATACTGATGAGTCGAGGCTCCTGTACTTTATTGAACATCAGGATGCTCCTCCTGTTGGGTGGAGAGCGCCAGAGGTAAATTATTTTTATATTTCCTTCTGTTCTGTTCTTTTCTTTTTTTTTTTTTTTTTTTTTTTTTTTTTTTTTTTTTTTCTTTTTTTAAATTCGCCTGACGTTCTGGGGTAAAACTTGGTGAAGCGTAGGCTCGGCTCTTTTATCAACCTGCTTTTTTTTTTTTTTTTTTTTTTTTTTTTTTGTGAAACCTTGCCTGAGCCAAACCGGCGAAATGGCGGCTCTCTTTGATAAGCATCGTTTCCTTTTTTACCTACTTCATGTAACAACCAATGGCTTATCAGACACTGCTATTGTTACTATAGAATAACGTTACCTCGACTGGTGGCCGTATATGGGCCCGTTATGTGAGCGACTATACAGGTGCGGCGCTTTACAACTACGCCGTCAGCGGCGCAACTTGCTCCAACGACATCACGCCGCGATACTTTAGCCCCATCAACGACATCTTCCCATCTGTTGACCAATACGAGATCCCTGCCTTCATTGAAGATGCGTACCATCAAGATCCAGAGACAGGGGAACCATTCCTATCTCTTCCTCGGAGGGAGACTGTCTACTCCATCTGGATTGGTACAAATGACCTAGGCAACGGGGCGTTCATAGACGATTCGCAGGTTGCTGGAAAAACACTTCTAGATTATGTCGAGTGCGTCCTCCGTGCAATTGAGGGTCTTTATGACCATGGTGCGCGGTATTTTGTGCTCATGAATGTGGCGCCATTGGACTTGTTGCCTCTATATGCGTTGCCTGAGATGGGTGGGGTGCAGGGAGGGCCGTTTTGGCCGGATAAGCCAGATAACATCACCCAGGTTTCGTGCCGGATGAGGGAAACTGTTGTGGCTGTGAATGAGATTATAGAGTTGAAGATAGAGGGTTCGATGCGCCATCGGTATAAGGGGGCAAGTATTGCTCTATTTGATACGTATTCTTTGGTACGCCGCCTTTGTTCTTCCCAGGCCAAAGACTCATTGTACACCTTTGCAAACCGCGCGTGACATATATAATAGCCCTATAACCATTAATTACTTCTCACTTGCAAAGCTAATTCTTCAACTACTAGCTTACGAGTATGTACTACCATCCAAGCCAATACTTCACTGGCACTGAACCGCCCAGCGTAGAGGGCTGGGTGAAGCATTGTGATGCCCAAGGACAGAACTGCGAGGAACAACCCAGTCCAGACTCTTTTATGTGGTATGACGAGCTACATCCATCAGAGCAAACGGGTAGGATCATCGCACAACACTTTGTTCAGGTTGTTGAAGGGGTGAGCGCGTATACGAAATATTTTGACTGAGACATGAGTGAGAGTAAAATGGCACCACCATATTTAGGAATTAATGACCCTCACAAGCATTTTTCTGGAATTGGATTATTTAAAAATTTAATGGGAAAACAGGGCATCACCTCGCAGCGCACAGGTTTAGCTGGCAGAGAGTAGCTGACCCAGATGCGATTTATATAATTCAAATAGCAAATTTACGGAGACATTGGGTTTTACAAAGTCATTATCTTAGATTTATATCGTCGGTCTTTTTCCATGATTGGTGAGTCAATATTAAATAGACATACCATACTGTATAATTTCGGGCCCTAACCAACAGCCGGGCCGAGTTTCGTTTCTTATCAATCTCCGATGATGGTTTTTGTCCCCAAATCTTCCACTTCACTTTTCCCCTCCCCTTCCTTTGCGCGTTTACACTCTTTATCCTCAATTGCTCTTTGCTATTGTACCCCATATTTAAGAAACCATGCCACTCTCCAGGATCGATAGGATTAAACTTCCCGCCTCCGCGGATTTTCACGGTACGTGCCGCAGAAGACAAAAGATATATCTGCCCCTCCATTACCCCACCATCGAGAAGAAACATAGATCGGCTTTCAATCATCCTATAGAAGCTTGGATAAGGACAGTGAGCTAATTGAAATACAAACAAACAGTTCATCTGCGAGATGGCGATATGATGGAGCTTGTCGTCCCCACCATTAGGCAGGGAGGGGTCAACACAGTCTATGTCATGGTAAGGTATCTGCCAGCCCGATCCCCTACGTCAAACTGAGCCCTGCAGCACAGCATACTAAACTTCTTTTCAAAGCCCAATCTCGTCCCCCCAGTGACCACCGTCGCGCAAGCACTCTCCTACAAAGAACGTCTCCAAGCTCTCGAGCCCCGCGTCACCTACCTAATGTCCCTCTACCTCCACCCCTCAATCACCCCCGAAACCATAATCGAAGCTAAGAGGAACGGAGTAATCGGCGTGAAATCCTACCCAGCAGGTGTAACCACAAATTCCGACGCAGGCGTCATCGACTACGAAGCCTTCTTCCCTGTCTTCGCCGAGATGGAGCACCAGAACCTAATCCTGAACTTACACGGCGAATGCCCCTCGCACGGGGACATCACAGTCATGTCCGCCGAAGAGCGCTTCCTGCCTACATTATTAGACCTACATGCACGTTTCCCACGCCTCCGCATTGTGGTAGAGCACCTAAGCACGGCTGCGGCGGTCGAGACGGTAAAGAAATGCGGGCCCTCCGTCGTGGGTACCATTACGGCGCATCATTTGTCCCTTATCGTGGACAATGCGCTGGGTGACCCGTTCTGCTTCTGCAAACCCGTAGCAAAGCTGGTAGAGGATCGTGATGCACTGTTAAGGGCGGCCACATCGGGGAGCAAGAAGTTCTTTTTCGGATCGGATAGTGCACCGCATCCGACGGGGTCCAAGAGGGGTGGTGATAAGATTGCTGCGGGCGTGTTTACACAGCCGTATGCGACGCAGTATGTGCTTGATGCGTTTGAGAAAGGGTGTGAGAGTGGAGTGTTGAAGGCGGAGGACATCACGAAGGAGGTGTTGGAGGGATTTATGGGGAAGTTTGGAAGGGAGTTCTATGAAGTTCCACAGGAGCAGAAGGAGTTTATTACACTGTCCAAAGCGAAGGGCAAGATTCTGGATGTGTTGAAGTCGGAGAAGACGGATGTGGTACCTTTCAGAAAAGGTGAAGTAACCTGGGGTTTGACTTGGGGGTGAGTTGGAGGGGCCCCGAATAGGGCTCGAATAAAGCTGAAATCAATATAGAATTGGTCTTTATTGGAGCCTAGGGTATAAAACTACCCGCGTCTATTGGAATCGTGATTATGCGGATTTTCAGTGTTGGACCCCGCTGGTCGTTAGTAATTCGCTGGGCGAAATGAAAGTCGGAGGTGCAGCAGTCATATAAAGAGTCATAGAATCGGGATATTTCTATTTCTCTTCATAATATTCCAATGTCAATGGAAACTATACAAGTTCTACTTATTTCATTTTCTTTAACTGATAAACTCTGTATATCTCAGATGTTTTCGTTTATTCCTCGCCGCAAGCAACTTACAACCGTACCGTCGGAAAAGGTAAAGGGAGAGAAAAAAGGTCTTATGAGGAAGAGGGGAAAATAGATTTTATTGAAATAACTAACATCATATGGTATATTGGTATTCGCTAAAAAAACAACACTCCCACAAACAAAGAGAGGAGTGAAATAAAAAAGGGCAAAACAAAAGCTCTCCAACACCAAGCAAGATACGTCCAACATTTCTAATCCACCGAGAATAAAATCATTCTATTCAAAGGGCCGTGGCGACAATGGACGTGAAAATGAGGTGATGGTTTTATATCTATCCCCTGAGCCCTCCCCACCGCAAGCTAGTTTTCTATTTTGATAGTTAGGCGTCTGCGCCTCCCGCACGCTCCGCGATCTAGCCACATTGACTCCACGCTCGACGCTATGATCGCTAATGTGCGATCGACGACCATCCATACTCAGGCGTTGGGCGCTTGTAGTCGTTCTCGTCGTGCCAGTCGTAGCCGTACTCGCGTATGAGTGACGAAAGGTATCCTTGTTATTGGTTTCGCAACCTGGGCTAGCGATGCTAATAGGTGGTGTCGCAGTGACGCTACGTATGAGGTCCGCGTCAAAGGTGACCCCAACATCTAGAGCGGCGATGAGGGCTGCCTGGAGCATTTTGTTCTGACGTTCGAGGAAGGCGATGCGGGCTTCGCATTGGGGATGTGTGGAGGTGTCTTGTGAGCGGGGGCGTATCGAGGATGATTGTGGGGACGAGGTGGTGTGAGTGTGGTTGCCATTACTGGCGCTGGTTCTGTTGCTGTGGGTATTTTTATTGCTGGAATGTGACGGGCTAGGAGTATATGGACCGGAGTTGTCCGGGGGGAAGCATTCGCGGAGGGGAGATTGCGATGCTGGGGCATTATTTAGTCGGGGTTCAGACCGGTTTTCTTTGTAGAAGAAGGTGTTTTTGCGGTTTTTGTTTGTTGGGCTTGGGTTGGCTCGCAGGTGTGAGGAGACGCAATTTCCGCAATCCGTTGAAATGGCAGTATGGGCTTCGTCAGACATTGGTGGAGGTAGTGGAGTACGGGGGCGAGATCCGCTGGATATCGCATTCTTTTCTGGCAGACCGTCAGCTCGGGAACTGGGCGTGTGGTGTGCGACATTAGCCGCATGGTGCTGTTGAGGGATATTGCTTCCTGAACGAGCACTTCTACTCGACCAGCTCTTATTGCTATTGCTTCTGTGAGTGCTTCCGCTTGAACTTGCAGACAGACTTGCGTCAACTTTGTGGGCAAGAGCAGCATCCAACGATATGGTCGACGGTGACTGGCGGGCTAGTTGATTTAGATTGAATGCTATCTTATTAGACGGAGATCGTAGTGAGGGCACAGGCGGGTCTTTAGGCAAGGGAATGCTTGGGGGAGAGCCTGGAGCATCGTTTCTCCGGACTTTTGGAGGAGTAATCGAGATACCCGTAGCTTGATGCCCTGCTTTCTTGGACTCCGATTGTAGCTCCCAACCACGCCGAACCTCCTCGGGTGTGCTGTCTTCTGAAGGAAGAGGTGGTTGGGTATCCTTTTTCAGTCCTCCACGGGCAAGACACATATCTCGCATTCGCAATACAAAGACTCGTTCTGCTCGACTCATTTTGTCTAGTGGCTTTGTTGCGTCCATCTTCGAGGGGTCAGATATTCCCAAGCAACGTAGCCTTTTCGACTCCAGAGGCCCCCTTGGACTTGAGCGTCTTCCAGAGTTCCGTTCTATGCATTGTTGGTCCCCAGACGCTGTGAAAACGAAGTGATCTTGCAGATTTGTTGTCTTGGTTGCTACCGACGTGTGTTGAGAGGTATCTGTAGTTTGTGGGGGTGGAAGAGGCACGGCAGCCTGGGTAGTTGTCATATCTAGTGATGTCTCTCGGTGCAGGCGAGACGCAACTAACGGTGAGCCTTTCGAGCTGGATCTTTGATGCCCAGTACTGTTTGCTATCCTGGCGCGGTTTGGCATCGAGGTTGACACAGCATGCAACGGCTGCATTTGTCCAGTCAGTGACGACGTCGAAGCTGCAGATTGTGAGGCATCCGTGAAGCGGGCGGGGCGAGGGAAAAGGGAAATCAACGATTGGGTATCGATGGAGTTGCGAGGGCGCTGTGGGTAAGCACGAGTCTTGGAGTAAGAGCTCCGGCGGCGATGATGTGTGAACGTAGCGAAGATAGATGGGTTTTGGCAAGCTCCCTTGCTAGAACTCCTAGGTGGTAGACACTCGAGATCGATGTGAGACGAGTCAGAGGGCAGATAAGGCAGCGATTCCTTTGGCTCCGAATCTGTCTCTTTGCCCGATGCTGTCAGCGCTGGTGTTAATCCAGGCGGAACACTTGGAAGCAGTGGAGCTGAGCTGGTGTTCTTCGACGCGGGATGGCAATCGTTGGGCTGAAGCAGTGCAAAACGGGGTCTGACGATGCTTGATGAACCCGACACAGTAGTGGTTTTCTCCGTACAGGCATGTTGTTTCAATGGATGCCGCTTCTCGCAATGCGCGTCATTGAGTTTATGACAGTGCTCGCTATTATAATCTCGGACGCTCGTGATGCCGCCAGTTGGCGTGGTGAGAACATCGCAAACACCGTTAGCTGCGGAGCCATTCAGCGCTAGAGAGCTCGGTTCCTGGCCTAGGCGATTTGGATCTCTTGCAAGCGGGGCAGCAGTGGAATCTTCAGGCCGTTCAGCGCCGTTCTTGGGGTCTGTTTGATTGAAATTCTCGTGGGCTGTCTCTGGATGCCAGAAAGCGTCTCCTGGCGTCCGCGGCTCCTGTGAACGCGGGCTCACAACGGAGCTCTGCCTGTCGTCGCAGTTGTTGTCGTTGTCGATATAATTACTATTACTATTATTGCTGTTGTTCTTATTGTCCTTTTTCTCAACTGGCAGAGAAGGCAGCTCGCCCACTCCTGGGTATAAAAAGTCGCGGTTTTCGTACTCGACCAGCTTGGAGTTCTTCCTGTTCCGCGTTCCAGACACCATCATCCACTTGCGCCGATGTGGGCTGCCAGCTTGTTCGTCGTCACGGACTGCTGTATCATTGGCCTGTGATTTGGCATTGCCACTCCATGGCCTTTTCTTCTTCTTCGTCGTCGTCTGAGACATTGAACTCCATATCCTCGATCTAGGCTTTTCCGCCTGGCGATGCTGATCGTCTCTTTCAGCTGCTTCGCTTTTGCGCCGAACCTTGGGCTTGTTGTTTTCTTGCAAGCGTAGTCGCTTGCGGCCCGAGGCCACTATGTTCACGACGATCTGGAACGGAGCTGAACGGTGCATTGGTTCATGCTGGCCGTCAAGGAACTTCAATAAATCGAGGGTATTCCCGCAATTGGCCTGCGTGCTTGCTGCCGTCAATGGTCGTTGGCCGTATATGCTCAGTTCTTCAGGGCTAGTATTCATATCAGCACCGTGGATGAGCCCCCTCCGGCTGACAGGCCGTTTATCAACGAGAGTCGCTGATACTCTCTTCTCCACCGCCATTATCTCGTCTCTTGACCGCCCCATCGGTATGGTAACGCTGGGTTCACTTCGTCTTGCGAAGCTGCCGTCTGGACGCTGCATCTTATGCGAGCTGCCAGCCAGACGAACATCTATAGGGACGATTGCTGCAGAATTGAGGTTGTGTGGATTTATGCTTGTCATACAAAATCAGTGAAATGATCTCTCTATTTACCAAGACGGTCAGTTTCTTCCATGCTTTCTCTGTATATTGTACAGTCCCACAACAGGAAATAGGACGTAAAACTGTCTGTACTATGCATATATACGTCATACGTTGTGGGATGAATTCTGCACGAACGGAATCCCGCATTGAACAACAACAACCACAACCCTTCGTTGACACATGGACCCGAAATAGATTAAAAGGAATACCACAAGCAGCAGAGCTGCGAAGCGTCAGGGGATAGGCGGGAATGGCAAGTAGAGAGAAAAGAAAAACTTCGTACTTCTAACAAACAGTGTGTGCTATTGATATACCGGATGCTCAAACCACAAAGAGGCGACTTGCGTCAGGGGGGAATAAACCCGTTATCTACCCCAGATCTCTATATTCGATTGAAATGCATTAGGAGAGATAAACACTCCACGCATCAAGAGCACGCCTGGTGCTGTGGAAAGGAAGGGAAGGGCAAGCAAAAAAAAATAAAGTAACCGAAAGCCCCTCTCAGACATCCGATGAGGCGGAATAGTAATGCAGTATTATATACGGACAACCGGAGCTCATTGATCTTGCGGGGGGATATCTGGAGAAATTATATGCGTTGAACAAAGCCGTGATCGCTTCCAGAATGGTTTCCTCCTCCTCCACACCTTATAGCAAGCCCAATTCCAAAGTAGGGACTGGCATTGGCAAAGAGGCGACCAGGGAAAAAAAAAAAAAAGAAGAAGAAAAAGAAGAAAAAAAGAAAATCTAGCAACTTTGATAAAGGCCAAACGTGGGACAAATATCGCTCTGAAATCCGGAATCTACAGGTCAAAATTCAGTCCAAAATCCTTGACAATCCGCGTCCGATCTCTATTTGATGATCTTCCGCTCGCATCCATAAGCCATCCCCAATCCCCGCATTAATATTAGAGCCGCTTTGTTACGCAGATATTCTACGAACGGTTGCAACACCAGCCGCCAACTCAGCGTAGAGATTAAGCAGCGGCGTCCAATTCGAGATCCCAGGAAGCTGGGTTCCAGGCTAAGCGAAAAGGGAGCTTGAGCTATTATAAGGGACGATCAATTCTTGAACCTTGCAACAAAACGACCAAAGCGCATCCAACTTGCATCTAGAGTCACCAAGAAAGCCAATACCAGGCTCGAGCGACACAGGAAGCTTGTCGTGTGGCTTAGTGTCGTTCACCAACTTTGCTACAAACTCATAACTACCCTTTGAAAGCAAGAGCTTTTATCAAGGCGCAACACCGAATAGAACCGGGAAAGATAAAAATAAACTTGAGCTATCGGGATCACCTGGATTTGGAGAATGTCCTTTAAATATTCAAATCAAGGATGATGAGAGTAAGTTACATCAAGGAAAAAATTCGCCTCTCACATTCTTAACATGATATTTTCCCCACACTTATCAGCAACTCTGAATGGGATTTTCAAGTGCAGTAAAATGCGCACTGATCCTGGCAAGGGAACCAGCAGCGTTAGAGGTGCATCTAGATATGGACCAATTGAAGAAGGAAGAAATTAATTGATTAACCTACAGCTCATTTCATTGAAATGTACGATGCAGATGCGCCTTTTGCCCTCCTTGTTGGTCTTGGTGGACCCTTCTGTATGAGCGTGCAGCTCGGGGTTGTGACTCCAGCGCGCGGGTTTCAAAATCGAGCAGAGAAACGCCGTTTTGCGGTGTGCAACCATTTTTGACGGCGATTGTATGGCTAACTAGAGGACTGTTCTCTCTTCTCGTCGATTGGGGACATTGATGTTTCGTAACTTAACAGCAGGCTAAAATCAGTGCAGCCGGGCTCAGTCAGTGGCTGCAGACGAGATGAACGAACATCGCCCACGAACGGCTTTTTTTATATTAATTTTGATTTTCAAGGAACCCTAGTGTTAAATAATTATTAAATATAATTACGGTGAACACTGTCGAACGTCGATCAGCGCGGCAAGAGAGCGATGTAACAACCGCCAACCATTCCATCTATCAACGGCCATCCCATCCCCGATACATGGCCTCTTGAACCAGAAACCTTCCCTTAACTACCAAACAAGGATATAAATACCCGAAATTTCAATGTTTCCAAGCAGACATCAACAGAAAGTATGCCCCTTAAAAAAATAAAAAAATAAATTACCATATCCAGATCAACCCCCCGGCATATGGGAATTGGCAATTGTCGTCATATTTCCAGGAGATGGCCCACAAAGCATCTTTCATCCTGCACGTCTTTGTTGCCGGCAACCACTCTCGTGCAAACGGAACTCGCATTATTTAATTTTGATAGGCCGCCTCGAGGAAGTTAGTGCACAATGAAATTTCGGTTGTTGCGCCGGACCGTCCCCAGACCCCGAGCTTGAGCCCCCGATCGAAAGTATAGATGCGTCAATCGTGCAGTATATTCATTCATTTATTATTCACCGTGGAAAGCGGTTCTCGAAGTTAAGCGAGTACGCCGATTGCTTTAGGGGGTGGAATTGAAGGTCTCCTCAACCAGCCAATATCAAATAACTAGTTAATGTTCAAACAAAAGATTTTCCTGAACGCCCGGCTGATGCGGGCAGCGAGGTTCTAATCACCCACTCAATCAGTTTATTCACCAGTTGATATGTCGCTGCTCAGGATATGCGCACCTTGCTGCCGATTAACTTAACCAATCAAATAATGATTATCTATGCTGAGTAGTTAATTAATTGGCTGATAAGACTTCGTTTTTTATTCACAGAATCGAAGTAGGGAGGGATCCATCTACGCAAAGTTCAATCTGTTGCATTGTCATATATATTGAAACAAGCGAGATATCAACAAGACCAAACTTCAATTCTGATTTTTTGTTTATTTACTTTGCATCTACAGAGTACATTCTACCTCCTTTGCTGATGATAATGCGGGTTGACCAACTCTACAGGTCACCGCTCTCTCTCAAGCATATGATATGGGCATAGTTTCATGGTCATGGCATGATCTCGTCACCGGCGTAACTGCCCACCCATTTCCAGTCTGGACAGGCCGATGTTTACTTTTCCCCCCAGCTAACTCAAGCAGGTGAACGGTTGGTTACGTTACTATCCTCTCCTGTCACATTAAATTAGTTATCGTAGTTACCGGCCCGAGGGTCAATTATAAACAGAACTGAACAAATAATTAGGATAACCAATCATCCCTCTTCCTGCAGTCGCTTGTCTCAGCCCTTTAGGGCCTTGCCCCCTTTTCGGTTCCCCTTCCCCTTTCCCCTTTCCCACACCCTCGCGTTCACCTACCACTGACCGCCTTAACTGACTTTGATATATCGGCCAAAACCAGAATATTAAAGAAACAACCACGAGGAAAAGCATCCTTCGCTCATACGCAGTGCAATGCACATGTGGTGGAAAGAGCAGCTTCCAACATCGGTGAACGATACATTTCGATGTAGATGTCAACCATGTGCGCAACCCTCCTATCCCCTCTTTTCTCATGCACCCCTGGCTAATGCAAGGGAAGATATACCCCGCTCTCAGCTGGTCAATAATCCAACAGTGGAAAAGCAGGAGGTGATTTGTGAATGTGATTTTCGCTGGCTTCTTTGGGAGGTAGGTTATGTCCTCTTTTACAGGAACGGTAACACGAGAAGATCTGACATGTTCTCCCATGTTCCACTCCATGTTATCGTAACACTCCCATGTACAGGCGGGCGCAGCAGATTCAACGGATGTCAGCATCGTCGGGGCGTCTATCCGCCAACTCGAGCGGTGTAAATGGCGGGGTGTTGTATTGATTCATATATCAGATGCCAGACAGATCTATCTATATATTTTTTTTTCTATACCTCTCTCTCCCCCCGATGGCTACCAAGATTAGATGCGCGGGTGTACAGGTGACATGCATGCATAATCGCACAGAGCAGATAGATTGGTTATGCAATTCATCATGTTCATGTTCACGTACGCGGTTGTGCTTTAAACATAACATTCGACGGACGTGTTTATTCGCACCCCTATCTTCGACTGTTGGCCTTGAGGCGCGAGAAGTCGTGGTGCATCGCCGAGGGTGAAACAACACTTCCTCGAGTAGAGTCGTGATATTTATGCACATGCAACTCGTGAACTTGCGCATGCATCATCAACACGCTGGCCTGTTCAGAACGAAGACTACAGTGGCGGTGACAGATATGACAGGTTACCCACCCTGCAGCAGTCAATCCCAATTCAGACGAATGGGAGGAAGGGGAATAAAAGTAGTTTCATCGAAAAATGAATCTTTCGATATACCCCAATTGCCTTGGTGGTTAAATGAATGTAGGGAGTATAAAAAATAATAAATGCTAGAATCTGAAGACGCCCAATTTTGTGTGGGTATATAACTCTAGAAACATGCCTCTAAAAAAGATTAATTGGTATGGGATGAAATAAAAGAGGTGAACACCAAAAACTACTTTGTGACCACGTCCGTCGTAAGTTGAAGTATTTGATAAAGGAACCACGTAGAAAACATAACAAAATATGCCAGACCATTTGGTCTGCACTTAGTAGTCCTCCTTCCTTCATATAACTTCTTGCTTAGCTAGCAATCTTCAATCAATCAAGCTTTACATCTTCCATCAAAAGAATAGTGTTACCAACGCCGCCCGGATGCCTTCTTCGTCTTGCTTCGTTGCTCTCGTCGCCCCAGTTTCTTGTTCTGGATGATAACGCATTCGAAGGATAAGGACTAGATAAACGAAAATTTAAAGTAAACAAAGAAGAAAGTGGAAAACAACATTGGGAAAACGATGGAATAAGTGACAAAAACAAATCAACAGCCATGAGAAACGTGATCAAAAAAGGACCGACCCCCAAACGCCGCAGTTCAAATCAAATAAAAATAGTGTCTATGCGCTGTAATGTGCGATCATCCATGCAAAGGTAAAGCGAAATAGCGGCTCCCTCCTCAAATGATAGAGAAAAAAAGTGAAATATAATACAACGCCGTCTAGAAAAGGAGTAACGGCAAAAGAGAATAATGAAATTTTTTTTTTTTCATCTTCTTTTTGGCTGAATAAATATGCTGGTTGGCTTCTTCTTTCTCATGGGTGGCGGACCTCTGCCTTCGGCATTTGGGCGCGGAGGCGGCTTATTAGGACGTGATGTGGAAGGTGGTAGCTGGGCGGTCTGTCGGGTAATGCTGTTAGTACTTTGCTGTGCCCATTTATGAGAGGAAGGGGCAAAAATTTTTGTCATAGCTTACATTTGCCGTCTGTTTCTCCGGTCCTGTCCCAGGACGAGGACGCGGAGGTTGTTGGGTTTTGGAGTCTATCGGCTGATGTCGCTGGCCAGATTTTGAGGGTATCACCAGATCCTGGAACGAGAGTTAATAGGCCAGTAAAAATATAAACTGGGTTTTATCATATCATCGAAAATTAATGCAAGAGAAGACTTACGCTGGTGGGAGGAGTAACAATATGGGGATCTATTTTCTTCCCTCGCGGCCCCTTTGGTGCATTCATAGGTGCACCGAATTGAGCGTTAAACTGCGCATTGGGTTTTCGAACTTTCACATTTGTGCGGGGATTAGGAGGCTCTGTTTCCATCCGTTTCCGCTTGCCGGAATTTCGCTGATCAGTATTTGGTAAGTCCCGTTTTTGATTAGGCAATACTGCAGATGACGGCACATTTGAGGCAATTTTCGGGGGCACTTGGATAACTGGCACTTTCGGATCGTGGTCGCCAAGCTGTCTTTTCCGCTGCCGTTCGAGATTTGCTTTTAGGACCTGAGCATGTTGATGCTCCTCGCGAGCGATTCTATCCTTCTCCCGTTTGGAGAGAACAACTATTGATGTGCATGCGCGCGCTAAATGCCCAATGCCGCCGCACTGGAAGCAGCGTTCTGCCTCGCAATCTCGCTTGGAGTGCGAAACATCTCCACATCGCCAGCAGGCACCGCGGCTGGCCAACTTGGCCTCCGTGTTATCGCAGTTTGTCGTCATATGCTCGTAGCTCCCGCAGAATCCACACATGGCTAATTCATTCAAGCCAAACTTTCCTCCTGAAGGCCCTTCGGGTCCAGTGGAAGGCACTAGTTTTGGGCTGTGGCCTGGTGTGTCTCTGGAGGAAGTAGGGTGGTTGTCAGGAATGCTGGAGAGGCGGCCTATTGAAAGAGCAGAGGACGGACGGCTACTTCCATTCCAACCCGGCGTCACAGATCCAGTTCTCGACGGCGTCGAGCTCTTCGCGCTCGGAGCGTCGATCATCTCCACATCTCCCAACTCCTTATCCAGACTGATTTGCGGCTTCTGCAAGAGATGCAAGACATCTCCTTGGGTATACAGATTTCTCGACTGAGCGTCAGTAATCAGCCCGTTCCAAAATTCGCCTTGGACGAGTGATTGTGAATTCCCAAGCACCCAAAGTGATGATTTTGCACGAGTCAACCCGACGTTCATGCGGCGAATATCAGCCAAGAAACCGATGCCACGGTTTGACGCTCGCACGCAAGAGAAGATAATAACTTCACACTCTCGCCCCTGGAATGCGTCCGTGGTATTAAACTCGACCTTGGTGAAAATTGAATTCCCATACTTGTTTGCAAACTGATTTTTCATTTCTCTAAGTTGACCTTTGTACGGAGTTATAATTCCGATCCTGCCCGTAAAGTCGTAAGTCCTGTAATCAGTAATCAACCGCTCGTAGAGTTTCATCGCCACGCGAAGTTCTGCTACATTTACCAACGAATGGCCCTTTGGAGCGCTCGAATGCAGTCCTTGCACATCGAAAAACCGATATGGACCCAGAAGCTCACTCTTATGCCATGGCCGAACGCGTAGTTTAGCCATACCCGGCCCATCTTGAAGCCGTCCGTCGTAAAATGCAGCGCTTGGGAAACGGCTGATTTCCGGATGCATTCGGTACTGGGTATCGAGAAGATGTACATCTTTAGGGTGATTGGCTTGCATTCTGACGAACAAACTCTGTTCATACTGGAAGCGTGACGCGACTTTCGACAGAACAGTTGGCGGCAATTGCTTAGGATCACCGACGAGGACACATTTGGAACAACCATACTTGAGAGGGATAAGAGCACTAAGCTCAATAGACTGTGCCGCCTCATCGATAACAACCGTTTCAAATTCGATGCTCAGTGACTGAAACATTTCATGGCCGCTTCCGCTTAAAGTTGCACATATTACATGCGCTCCATCAATGATCTCCTGCTGAACCTTTTTTCTTGCAAGGTCAGCATTGCGGGCAGCTGCCTGGTTACTATCCCTGGCATTATCAATAGCCTGACTAAGCTGTGCTTTCTTCCGTTTCAACAGATCGAATTCCCGCTCCAGCTCTGATGGAACGCCTTGCCCCTTAGCACGGCACTGATCAAGTCTATCGCGGACTTCGTTGAATTGAGTACAGGCCTCTTTGTGCTCCGAGTAGTAAGTTTGTAGGTCCTTCTCATTACCGTTTTTGCGACCATTTTGTCCAAGCTTTGCGTTCACAAGCTCATCCAAAGTTACATCAATGACATTCGAGTTTATCGCATCGCTTCGCCCGAGGCGGACAACAGAGATATTTTGCTTTTGTCCACTCGATGTGACAACCCCCTCCTTGAATCGCATGACCAACTCATCAACTGCTGCATTACTCGGTGCACAAACAAGTAGCTTCTTGGAGTTCGTGGTTCGTGTAGCTGGTTTTAAATTGACCGATGAGCCAGGGCGAGCAATCTTTTGCTCAGCAAATACAGGGGTCAAGATCGCACCAACCAAGGCGACAATTGTTTTCGTTTTGCCCGAACCAGGAGGGCTAGCAATCATAATTAGTACTACTAACCCAAAAAAAAAAAAAAAAAAAAAAAAAAAGAGGGTTATTTCATGCATACCCCTGAATCAATGTGAAAGCGTCATTATCCATAGCCGACCTGACAGCTTTAGCCTGGGCTGGGTTTACATTGTAGGTGTCAATGATGGGCTTCAGAGACTCTGGTGAATAGTTCAATATAGGCGACGGCTTGGCTCTAATGATTTCCTCACTCAAATCGTAATACTTTAGTGCCATCAAGGCTCCGTATTCTCTTTCCACGGGTGTCAAAGACGTGACCCGAACGCCAAAAATAGAAGTTCCCGGTAAAATTGAATTGACGAGTGGATTCGAAGGATTTATGCGATAGGAAATTTCCATCATTCCTTTCTTTTTACTCGACCGGAAAATCCTTGCAAGACAATGAGGGGCCTTTTCATTAGAGGTTGGGTTGCTCGCCTTCGATAACAGAACTAAATCTGACTCCCCCAATCCCAAATCCTTAGCCTCCGCAGGTTGCATGAAGGTAGTAACCTCAACAAAGGCATCCACAGACATGCGGTTTGAAACTTTAATTTCAAAGGCTTTGAAACCGCCTTCTTCTTTCGCTGACTGGAAACTTTGCCATGCTTCTAATATCAACAGGGGCTCGAAAGTTCTTTGGTAATCCGCCGCGTCAGAGAAAGTATTCGAAACGAGACTATAATCTGTACGGCCAGAATTCGGAGGAAGGTCACCATTTGCGAAGAATTCCCAGCTCAGCAAAGTCCTATGAAGCAGTGACAGATCTGGAGAGAGCCTCGCGCGCATATCCTTAGCAGACCGCACAATTTTGGTTTTCTTAACAGGACCGCGTTGGCTTAGTAACTTCTTCCTACTCTCTTCATATGCCTTTACGGCATCCGGCTTAGACATCGCCTTTCGTCCGAGCACATCTCCTTCATCATCCTCCTCGCTATCGTCATCCGAATCTGACCCGGAGACCATCATACTCTCAACAGGTCCATGCTCGTCAATATTAACAGTAATTCCTTG